AGAGCTTTTGGGGACACCTGCGTTAGTACAAAAGGATCTAGAAGAGTGGCCATTCAGGATAACTTTCATTTTATGATTTGATAAGAAAGACTAAACCAGTTGTATAATTCGTCCGGAGACACCGTAACTTTTCAACTTGTGAAGAAGACCCGCATGCCAAACGCTGTCTAACGCTTTCGAGATATCCAAATCAAAAGCCCAAGCTTCACCATTCTTATCTAAAGCTTGATTGACTCTTTCCACAATAATCGTTAATACACCAGCTGTTAACCTAGAAAAAACGAAAGCCATATTGCTTGTCTGAAAGAAGGCCTTGCGTTGTGAGATACTTAACCAATTTAGCATTGATTATGGCATCTAAGAGGTAAAAGTTTAATAAGCCGATGTTTGGAAGGGTCGGATGGTTCACTTGAGTTCTTAAAGACTGAACCAACAGATGAGGATTTCCAACAAGCAGGAAAGTAAGAGACATTGAAGCATTTATGATAAAGTTTGGAGAGAACAAGATCCATTTCAGGAGCACATTTCGTAAGAATTATTACAGGAATTATGTGATCAATCTCACATGCTTTGTGGGAATCCAGAAACTATAGAAGGGGTTATATGCATCTTACTCAACAGTGACACAGTTCTAAGTGGGAAGTTAGGCAAGGATTTTCACGAGTGGAGTCTAAAGAGAATTTACGAGTGAAACATGCTGGTTTATCAGCAGACGTTAACACCTCAAATTGATTAAAGAGAAAAGAAATGGTAAGCATACTCTTATATAATACATTATTACAGAGCCACCAGTTATTGCGAGAGCCAAATTTGTTAGATGCGATAAGGTATCTCATTCTCTCAATAAACAAAACTTTATTATATTTATTGCAAGCAGCCATCAACAATCGTTTTTTTTTTCTTTGGAACTGTTGTACTGATATAGTTGGAAATAGTGATTCCTGTGGGCTATAATGGTAGAACCTCCTGGTGTGAATCATGGAGATGCTATCTATTCTTCGTGATTTTTGTTTTTCTTTAATATCTCTGATTTTCCATGATTGTTTTTGGAAAAGATTTTTCTTTTATTCTCCGCGTTCTTTCAAGGTGGAATTGGTCATGACTCCCTCCAGCATCTTATCCTTTGTAGCTTTAAGAAATTTGTCTTGTCTTATTGTCCAGCTTAGGTTCTATTTATCATCCATTTACACAAGCTCTTTAGATAGATAACTCAATGTTTTTTTCTCTCTCTTCAATATACCCGGTAAGTATCAAATTCTCCAACACTATTCCCTCATAATGCAGTCAAAGATATTTCAGTTGGATCTAAGTACAATTCGTTTTTTTCTTTCCATTTTCCTTAAAGACTACAAGTTGCTCACGTGTCTCGTCTGTGGCATTCTCAGCATCCTTTTGTTGTCTCCATTCTTCATCCGTGAAGAAATTGTCTGTCATTCACTGTCATCTCGGAGGAATGACATTACATAGTAGTTCAAAACACTTTTATTTGTTTTTAAGGAAATTTTCAAGTGTTCCAAAATTTTGCTTAGTTTTTCAAGACATCTTTCGCTATTCCAATGCGCCTTCGTATTTTGGTGTCGCACTTTCCGTTGTCTGTTATAACACATCCCAGATATTTGAATTCCTGTACTTTCTTGATTTTGAGGTTTCCAGTTCGTACCTCACAACCTGGGTAGCCTCCCTTGCACGGAGCATTCTGTTTTAAAGTTTGTAGTTTAGTTAAGATGTCTGGTTTCTACTTAAACGGTAAACAATGATTTATACTTGAGACCCCATAAACATTGGTTCGGTTTATACTTGAGACTAAAGGTAAACATTACTCTAGTTTATACTTAAGTCAAACGGTAAAACCTGGTCGGTTTTATACTCGAGTCAAACGGTAAACATTGGTCCACTTTGCACTTTAGTAAAACAGTAAGTATTGGTTCAGTTTATAGTTAAATCTAACGTTAAACATTGACCGGGTTTATAGTTGAGTCAGACAGTAAAGATTGGTTTGATTTATACTTGAGACAATAGGTAAACCTTGATTCGGTTTATAGCTAAGTCAGAAAGGAAATATTGTTCCGGTTTATAGACAAGTCAAATCGTAAGCCTTAGTCGGGTTTATAATTGTGTCAGTAAGTAAACATTTGTTCGCTTTATACTTATGTCAATAGTAAAACTTTATCCTGTTCATATTTAATTAAAATAGTAAACATTGACCCGGTTTATACCTAAGTCAAACAGTAAACTTTAGTCCGGGCTATACTTGAACCAAGCGGTAAGCATTGATCCGGTTTTTACATAAGTCATATTGTTTAAGTCATAAATATTGATTTGGTTTATACATGAATGAAACAGTAAACATTGGGGCGGTCTATAACTTTGTTAAACGTATCCAATCGGTGGGTGATCCCATTTTTTGGGGGGGGGTGCTAGGCAGTAGAAAGCTTTCCACCTATGCAGTCGGCGTATTCTACGCTCCGCCACTATGACACATGATTTTTATCTGAAATGTTCACTCAATATATACCGTGTATTTCTGCGTATAAGACGACCTTTAGATACCAAAAATCACCCTTAAAATTGGGGCTCGTCTTATACTACAATTTTCGGTGCGATAATCAATAACGTACATTAAAATATTCATATTATCAAATAAAGTGATAATAAAAGTAATAGAATCATATCTCCCTTGTATGTTATTGGCATAACTTCATAATAAATTGCCAATTCGAAGAATAATTCTGTATCAATGAAATCAACTTGTGCTCGGTTGAGAAAAATGTAAGCATCGAGTTATGATTGCGTTCACAGCAACCGTTTATCTTTCGCTAAATATTCAATAACATGACAGTTTTAATTACGGCAGTAATAACATTTAGGATAAAATAATATTAATTTCTCATTAAAAATTCATTAACATGTTGCTGTTAAATAATAACACAATTTAGGATTACAGACAACCTTTATTTTTTAAATAAAAATCCTTTTACGGCAGTTGCGTTTAAAACTTTTAGGATATTATAAAATTATTTATTTCTACAGTTATTAGCGGTACTTTGTGGTTATCGATGAAGTATAAGTAAATGGCCATTAGTACACCAGGCTGTTTGTAACTGTTTAGATCTAAGAAAAGAAGAGGAAGAAGAAAAAGCACTATTCGCAATAGATCACGCGATGAAATGTAAACAAAACAATTGTTTCCCTTTTAGGAACGTGTATAGGAAAAACATGGTATTGAATCGGTTTTTTATTTCGTTTATTTTGAATTTCTAAAGATAGAGTAACAACATTTCCAATAATACCATCTTTCTATAGTCAATAAGCAGTCGTCTTATACTGCAGGTATAGGATAAATTCATGAAAATTTGCTATATTTTTTGACCGTGTCTTATGAAAAGGCCGCCTTATACGCGGAAATATACGGTAGTAATGTTCTATAGAAAAGCGTTGTAGTGAGTGCATTGACACGTAAATAGTTTATACTGATATTTGTTGTGCAGAATAAATGATTTTATTATCATTAGGCTATGGATTTATTGAACTAACTCCATGAAGTTTTCTTTCTTTCTTATCTTTATTCTCTTATTAAAATCTTTTCTTCGTTTTCCTTTTTGTCCGCCATTTTATTTCTATTTTTCTTTCATTGCTAATTTTCTTTTTTTTTTCTTTTTTTATTCCATTTTTTTAACTTTCTTTTATTGTTCCCTTCTTTCTTATTTCTTTCTTCCTCTTTCTTTACACGGCCCAGTGGATAAATGTTGATTGATCCAAAAGTGACTTGACCCAAAGAATTGTAATTTCAATACCTTGGAAGGTTGAGTTATCAAGTGGAATTAACTAAAAACAGATATCCAAGGGCATATGCACGAGAAATAGAACAATCTATCCACCCCCCCACCACCACGTGGTCTAAATAAAGGGTTCGATTCGAAATTCCAATCATCTGAAGAAGGCCGGAGCGTACAACAACTGAAATGTCGTGAATATAGAAATCAAGATGAGTACAAAAGCACGAACAATGTCAATAGTGTAAATTATTACAGTACCTCATCTCAGAAATTGTTGCAACCCAGAAAAGGTTACTGAATGAGGGATAACCAAAACGCAGGCTGGAAATGAAATGATAATCTTTATAACATCAACAAAATACAATACTCGCCAGCGGCGTGAAGTAGGTAAACCACTGCTAGTGGTGGACTAATTAGACATCATATCCCCCCACCATTTACAATAGTGTCCAACGTATTTATGAGGATAAGGACATACTCATTAATGTTCATAGGTACGGTATAGAACAGATAGATAGATAGATAGATAGATAGATAGATAGATAGATAGATAGATAGTGTTGTAACCTAGAAAGTGTTATTGAATAAGGAATAACCCAGAATGGAGGTTGGAAAATAAATGGTAATATTTATAACATCAACAAAATACAATACTCGCCAGCGTCGTGTAGTAGGTAAACGACTGCTAGTAGTGGACTACTTACCCTTCCCTCTAGTTGCAATAGTGTCTAACGTCTTTATGAGGATTGAGACATACCCATTAGTGTTTATAGGTACGTTATATAACAGAAATATACTCAGTTATTTTTCTTTGTTCCACGTTATTCGTTCTTCATAATTATTCTTCATTCCTGTCGTCTTTCTATCTTCTCATTTCTTTTTGTCTCTATTTTTGTTTTTCTTCTTTACAATTTAACTTTTTTTCTTTTCTTTTTTCACGTTTCCGTCTTTTTTCTTTTTATATTTTTCATCTTTCGTGCCCATCTGTTTTAATATTCCTTCCTTCATTCCTTCTTTCTTTTTTGCATATTTTCTGTTCTTTTAATTTTCTTTTTGTTTGGCTTTATCTTTTTTTTTTCATTGTTCTTTTCCACTCATTTTTCTTCTTCTACATTATAACTTTCTCTTTCTTTCATTCTTTATTCCATTAATTTCCTTTTTTCCTTCTTTCTTTACGTCAACTTCTCTTTTCGCCGACATTTTTGATTTTCTAAATATCTTTAGTTTTTTCTTCTTCCACTTTATCTTTTTTCTTTCTATTTTTTCTTTTCTTCTATTTTTCTCGACATTTTATTCTTTTTCTTATCCAGCATTTTTTCCTTCCCTTAATTCTATCATTTCTCATTCATTATTTCCTTCTCGTTCATTGTTTCTTGTTAATTTTTCTCTTATTTTCTTTCTTTTTTTTTTTTTTTTTTTTTTTTGAGGTGGGGATTCATTCCCTTTTTATTCTTTACTCCTTCTTTCTTAGTTTTCTTCTCTATTTTCTTAGTTTTTCATCTTTATCTTTCTTTCCTGTTTCTTTATCTTTCTCATTTTCTACATTTATTTTGTTTTTTCACACGCTCCATTCTCTTTCCTTCTATGTGTTTTTTACTGTTTTCTTTTTCGTCACCCTTCTTTTTTTCTTTCACCTCTTTTTCTCTCCTGTTTTTCTTTCTTATTTCCCCTCTTTCTTTACACCACCTTGGTGTCTTTCGATTCCAAATCTTCCTTCTCTTATCGTTTTTTTTTTAACTTTTCCTTTTTCAACGTATCTTATAATTGGTTCTAATTGTTCGCGTTCGATGTTCTCACTCTTCGTTCACCCGACCCATTTTTCATTTTTCCAATCTAAGCATTTTTAGATCTACAATTAACCCCTTTTTACCTATAATTTTTTCTTGCTTCCTTTCAACCTGCACAACCATTTCCGACATTTTCCGGAGATTTCCCGATTTTCGAACTCGTTTACTCCTTCCATCATCGTCGCAGTGGGAGATAATTAATTTTCCACTACTCTTCTTCCTCTTTTTTCAATTTATTGTTTTCTCTATTTACAAATGTTTTTCTTATTTTGGGGTTTTTTTTTATCCTTCTCCCTGATTCGTCTTTCTTCTTCTCATTCTTTCTTTCTATCATTCTTCCGCGTATTTTTTCTTTCTCTCCGTTTTAAATTCATTTTCCTTTTTATTTATTTCTTTCTTGTTGTTTTGCACTTTTTCATTCTTTTACCCATTCTTTACATTTCATTCTGTATTTTATGCTTTCCTAACATTAATTTCTTCTTTTTTTTTTATTCCTTTAATTCAATCTTTTCTTCATCACTACTCTCATTCTGCCCTTCGGTTTCACAGCAGCCTTTGTTTCTCGAACGAGTTTTATTTTTTTTTATCTTTCTTTCTTTCTATTCTCAATTCTTTTTTTCATTCACGATTTTCTTTGAGGCTACCTTTTCTTTTCATTTTTATTTCCTTTTTTTTATTATAAACCTTTTTTCCTTTTTTCATATCTAAATATAAACCTATTTTATCTATCTATTCATCGGTAGTTTATTATCTATCTATCTATCCATCCATCTATCATCCATCTATCTATCTATCTATCTATCCTCGGTAGTTTATTATCTATATCATCCATCTATCTATCTATCCATCTATCTATCTATATTATTCTATCCATCCATCTATTATCCATCCATCTATCCATCCATCTATCTATCCATCATATCTATTTATCATATCTATCTATCTATCTATCTATCTATCTATCCATCCATCCATCCAGTAGTTTATCTATCTATCTATCTATCTATCTATCCATCTATTCTCTATCTATTCTCGGTAGTTTATCTATCTATCTATCTATCTATCTATCTATCTATCTATCTATCTATCCTCGGTAGTTTATCTATCTATCTATCTATCTATCTATCTATCTATCTATCTATCTATCTATCTATCCTCGGTAGCTTATCTATCTATCTATCTATCTATCTATCTATCTATCTATCTATCTATCTATCTATCTATCTATCTATCTATCTATCCTCGGTAGCTTATCTATCTATCTATCTATCTATTTATCCTCTATTTATCCTCTATCTAGTTTATCTATCTATCTATCTATCTATCTATCTATCTATCTATCTATCCTCGGTAGTTTATCTATCTATCTATCTATCTATCTATTATTTTCCTTCTTTGATTACCTTGTCCAATTTTCATTTTTTTCTTTCTTTTGATTTCTCTTTGTTACTTTTTCTTGTAAATTTATTTATTCTTTTTTTCTCATTTTCTTTCGTTCTTTTCTTTCACTTTTTCCCCTTGTTATTTTCTCAACCATAATTCCTTTTTAAATCTTTAAAATTTTCTTTTTTAATTCGGATTTATTGGTTTCTTCCTATTGTGCATCTCTTTTTCCTTTTCCTCCTATTACTTTCTATTACTTTCTTTTATTTCTTTCTTTCTCTATTTCTTTATTCTCCCTTCTATGCTTTTCTTTCTTCCTTTCTTTCTAGAAATAATTAATTTTCATTTTAGTTGTTATCCAATTTCGACCGAGCTTCTCCACGGACACACAGACACACGGAAAAGTTACGCCGGTTTGGCAAGGACGACGCGCATGCGTGAAGAGGAACGGACACACAGACACACAAGTTTACCACTACAAAGCACCGCTTCGAATGTCTTTCATAAATGCCTGCAAATGTCTGAGTACAAACACAACCTCATACACACAGAGTGAAAAAGAGTTTGATTAGATTTTACAAAATAAGTCAATGAACACACGTACATCTCCATCTATTTACGTCTGTAACTAATATATACAGCTTGAGAATCCTTTATCCAAAATTCATGGGACCGGAAGTGCTTCGGTTTTCATATTTTTTTTTCAGTAAGGTTTACTTTTTACAAGGCCCGAGGGTAGAGGGTTAAGTTAGGAAACCATTTGTGTGTATAAGAGTGGAAGATAACGGTTAACCCGAGCGTTGAACAGGTTAAGATCGGGGAAATATCCTACTGGGAGTCGGTTCCATAGGGCAGCTGAGCACATGAAGAAGCTGTTCGAGTGGAACTTCTCACCGATTGAATACGGGGGCAATGTGGGTGGTTTGCTACTATGTAAGTGGCGTGGCGTGTTCTTGTTGTGAAGGTCTCACTAAGCAGGACTAGAGAATATAGTTCGTCCGCGCACTTTCCATAGAAGTAGCAGTAGAGTAGCGAGAGGCTTGTCACATCCCGCCTGTCGCCTGTGGTAGAGGGGTTGAAGGGTGGTGAGTAAATCGTCACCCACAAGCGCGAGAAGACGCTTTTGAACTCTGTCAAGGCTGGGGAGTGAAGACTGGGCAGCTCCCGCTTTAATATGACATGAGTACTCCATTTATGGTCTGATCTGGGTTTTGTAACCATAGAGGGTGGTAGGAGGAGATAGGTACTTTTTTTTTATCGGATTTTGATATACACGCTGTTTAATTTGTATATAGCATCTATAAATTAGGACAGCGCTTGGGTATGTAACCCGGGTATAAACACTATATACATTTACATTTCATAACACAGCTTCTACATATACCCTGAAGGTAGTTATATATAAATAATATATACCCTGAAAGTAGTTTTATATAAATTTTAATAAATTTTGTGTACATACAGATAAAGAAAATGATGCTAGTCATGTAATGTACACATGCATTTTTAAGTGGTGAAATTAAGATTTTACATAAAAATAATGTCTACATTATGGTTACTTGCATTATTTATATTATTCGGGCTGTTATCCTCATTCCCGTTGCCATATTCACAACATTTCGGCCGTTGTACGCCTCGGCCTTTTTCAGGTGGTTGGAATTTCAAACCGAACCCTTCATTTCGTCCACTGGGGTAGATTTTTCTAGTTCCACGTGCCATGCCTCTTCCGCGTATCTCAGTTATTTCCCTTTAACTCAATAAGTTTTTGGTTCTCCACTGCTGTGGCCTGGTATTGAACTCACAACTCTTTGGGTCTAGTCACTGGATCTAACCAACGTCTTTATCTCAGCCATTTGTCCTCGAGGACACATGGCCCAGAGGATAAAGGCATGGTAAAGGTATGGCACGTGGAACTAGAGCAATCTGACCCGGTGGACGAAAATCTGTTCGAAATTCCAATCACCTGATGAAGGCCGGAGTGTACAACGACAGAAACGTTGTGAATATGGCAGTGAAAATGAGGATAGCAGTCCGAATAATGTAAATAATGCAAGGTGGCTGCTGGAAGAACCTATATCTGGCAACAGGACTCTGTATCATGCCACACAAGCTGGAGAACACAGTAATAACTACCAGACAATTTCTGCGAGCACATCACCCCTTACATCAGACCACCAACACCCCAGTCGTCAACCTCCTTGATTATTATGTGTGAGGCGCAGTTGAGGGAAAAAGCAACAAAAGTCCTTGTAACACCAAAGACGAACTGAAGACGTGGATTATGGCCGCATTCACCAAGTAAAACAACGAGACCGCCCAAAAGAGTTGCAGGAGATTCCGAAATAGTCTGGAGTCCGTTGTTGAAGACAATGACTATTTTGATGAATAAATTTACTCTTTAGTATTTTTGTGTAATTTTGGTAAATATATCTGTTAAAATGATATGTCCGTGTTATTTTCATTTTTGCATAATTTAGACGCCAATTTATCCATCGCAGGGCTGTCAGTACCTTTCCTAAAATCGCGGTACCTCAGTTTTAAGTTATTTTTTAAAATGAAAATGTTCTTGGGGCTTTCATTTAAAATTTAATTGAAAGCCAAAGGATTTACTATTTCCACTAAGCAAAATGCTCTGGTGTATTTTAAACAGAAATTATCTTGATTAGAATTGATTTTCATTTTTTTTCACTAACATCGTCAAAGTTGCCCATTTTTTACAGATTTGTAAATACAAGTTATCTTTTAAAAAGAAGGTTTTAAATATCTTGGAAAAATAGAATATAATTTTCTTAAATTTTATTTGAGGAGAATATTAGCTATTAAGTAGAGAGAACAAATAAATAACAAAAATTAAGAAGACAGAAAATAGCGGTTGATACTGCATTTAAATTTTTGAATATCAAAGGGAAGCACGAAGCAAGAAGCCAGAAGGGAGTTCCACTAGCCAGAAGTGCGAGAGAAGAAACTGTTAGCATAGAACTTACGGTTACATCTAGCAATATCAACTGTAAAATGATGAGACCTAACCACCAATCTAGTACTGCGCTTAAATTCATCAAGTCTAGGTGCGATAGAAGAAACTGGATCAGAACAATCACCATGAAATTATTTATAGAAAAGGCACGGAGAAGCTACGTTACGGGTAGAAAGGGCCTGAAGGAGAGATGCCAGATCAGGACCGATAACATTGCAGAGTCTTCTTTATATTTTATCAAGAATCTCTAAATATATACTTTATATCTCTAAATGTGTGCTTTTACGTAATCTATGAAACAGTTATAGCGCCTTTTCCATTTGCTTTGGTAAAATTCTCAAAAATTCTTTGTCATTCAAATAAATCTATTTTCGGATTTAAATATGGCCGCATTCACCAAACATTTGCATCGGAGAAATAAAGAAGTAAAGAGAAATAACTAATACTGACATTTATTATTATTATTAAATTAATCTAGTAATATTATATCATGCCATATAAGAAAAACTGTTAAAACTTAAAATTCTATTAAACTTCTATTTTCATGATGATTTCGCTAAAACTATTTACAATAGCCATCAATCTCTCAAAGGAACGTGTGCAAAGCAAGACTGGGTATCATTGCTAATATATACAAGGCCTGATCAAAAAGTAACGGGACTAGTGATATAAAAACTACAGCACATATCCATTCGACATTTAATCTCCTTCGAAGTAGTCTACTTCTTAAGCCACACATATCAGGCATCGTTTACATTGATAGAGGCATTCCGGAAACTCCCTTTTTCGCATAGCAAACAGCTGCCTTATCGCATTCTCTTGGGTTTCATCGATGTCTTGAAATCGTGTTCCTTTCAAGTGGGATTTGATTTTGGATAAAGGAATCGCAAGGGGCAAAAGCTGGGGGAATATGGTGGTTGTTGAACATCGGGAATGTTGTCTTTGGCCCCAAACTTCTACCTAGGCCACGGTCACTGCTGGACCTATATGGTGTGATGAGACGACCACACTCTACACACTTTCCTTCCAAGCAATTCTATAAACGACGGAAGCAAGCGGTTACTTTATAACATTGCGTGTATGCGCGACAGAGTTCAAGGCCAATATGTGACAAGCGTCTTCTTTCATACTTTATCTCTGTTACCGTTGTATTGCAACGGTAACAGAAACTGTTTGATTAGACCTCATATATACTGGATTCTCCCATCGTCTTCGACTTCTTAGGACCGAAATGCCAGACTACACACGCATATGATTTGATTTTAGCGTTGGAGGTTTGGGCAGAACCAACCACACTTTTTGGAAGAGCCGGATACAGAGAATTATGGCAACATAGTCGCCAAACACACCTCTTAAAGTTTTTGAATTCGGTGTTGTCCTTCTAGATCATGATTATAGGAACCAGTATATCCTGATGTTTACCTATAGCTAGATGAAAAGGCGTAGTAATATTAAATTTTAATGTGAAAATTGGTCAGGAAAAATAGTTCAAAATAACCTCAATCACATATCAAAATGTTTTTGAAGACAAAAATAAACTAATTTGCAATCATTTCTTTCGATATGAAGTGGATTTGCATCCGCCAAGAGAAACACTGAAAATGTCTTAGGTTTACAAAGGTGTTTGTCCGCTAACCTACAAAAGTGATTTATTCAAAGAAAATCCGTCGACCAATCTGATACATTAGATTCTGACACTAAATCGTATTTTATAGACGATTCTTGGGGAGAATAATTGAAAAATGCAAGGAATGTTGAGTATTTAAAACAAAGTCTTTCGATATTAAGAATTGTAGTTACTTTGAACCACTAAAATATGAATCTTATCTTTGTACAGATGATGAGCCTTGGTTAAAATAACCTATCATTCTATCTCTCTCGTTCTTTTTTATATATATATATATATATATATATATATATATATATATATAAGGAGGTACGGCGGTGTAATAGCTTGGATTGAGGAATCGTACAGCCGAGTTCGAATTTCAGTCGAATCCATTACATTCACTTACGTGAAAGGGTGTGAATCCTCTTCTTCTCCCTCCAGCTATGGGTAAATAGCAGGACAGACTGGGTTCTATAGCCTTAGGTGGCAACTGGTCTAGGAGAGGGACAACTCTGAATTCAAAACCTGCGGAGGGTCGTTTGGGGACCTTGTGACACGTAGTGCACCAGGTCTCTGCATTCGGCCCTTCAAAAAGTGTGGATGGTTCTGCACAAAACATTCACCACTATAATCAAATCTAATGTGCTGGTGTTGTGCTGTCAGTTTCCTAGGAACTGATCTGCTTGACCCTCATACGTCGAATTCGACGGGAGAGTCGAGTATATATATATATATATATATATATATATATTGTGTATTTAGGCAGCAATTTATGTAAGTTTCATTTATGTAAGTTTCATTAAAAACGACTAACAAGGTACTACGGTTAAGCTATCTATTTAATTTTTCTTCTGTTCGAACAAGAGGTTTCTTTTTGGGACACAGAGTGTGTAGAAACTGTCCAAATGTTCTATAAGTTCGAGTACTTTCGGCTATACTTTTAGCCATTATTAAGGATGATTTTATTTTTT